ATCAAGTGCTGCATGATCACCTATACAAGGGGGTTTTGGTTTACCTTAATGATATCCTCTATACTGAAACCATGGAGGAGCACATCAAGTTAATTAAAGAGGTGCTTAAGAAACTGTTAAAAGCTAGTCTCTATGCCAGACTTTCTAAATGCGATTTTCATCAGATGCGCCTCAACTACTTGGGCTACCAAATCTCTAGTGAGGGAGTGGAGATGGACCCTGTCAAAGGCAAAGCTGTACTAGAATGGCAGCCTCCATGGACCCGCAAGCAACCAAAGCTTTTTGAGGTTTGCAAATTTCTATCAGCAATTCATCCACTCCTTTGCGAAAATCACCATGCCTATTACTGAACTATTAAAAACTGGAAAAGGGGGAGGGAAAGCCCCGACCTTGTCATCCTTTACAATGAACTATAGAATGGCAGGTGGCATTTGAGCAGTTAAAGAGACATATTTGCAGCAGAACCAGTTCTTAAATACCCTAACTCCAAGGAACTTTTCAACGTCCAAGCTGATGCCAGTGATGTTGCTGTGGGCACGGTCCTCTTAGAGAAAAACTTTAGGGAAGATCTGCAACCCTGCACCTATACTTCTTGAAAACTTTCAGAAAAGACTATGGGCTGTTTGGGAGAAGGAGGCTTTTGCAGTGAGATGGGCTTTATTAACTAGACACAGTTTCTTGGATGGGAGCAAAGTGCTTTTTGAGGTATGGACTGATCATAAAAATTTAGAGGCACTGAAAACCCCTCAGAAGTTATCTCCTAAGCAGGTTAGGTGGGCACAATACTTCAACTGTTTTAATTTCACTCTCAAATACCTCCCTAAAGGAAAGAACTTTCTAACAAATGTTCTGTCTAGAATGCCCCAATATAGGGGACTTCCACTTTTGCACGGCCGAGGGATTGCGAAGCTCTGCACCCCACGGCTGGTTTTGCCCTGCCAGGGGATCCTAAATGGGCCTAAAGTTGCCCTGGAGAGGTGACGAAGAAGGAGGAGCCCCCATGGATCATAGAAAGATGGCGGTTGATCCATTTGATCCTGGGGAAGCCCTCCAACCCGACAGGAGAAAGGCTAGCTGCACACCAGTGACTAGCCCAATCTAGCAGCAGCCGAAGTCCAAAAGTACTAACTAGACCAACCGAGAACAACATGCTTGGAGCTGGGTAAGAATATTGATCTCTCTTCTATTTTGTAACTGATTTCCTGGAAAAGATCCCCAAGAAGCAAAAAATCTTCCGAAAGTGAAAAGGGAGGGGATCACACCCCCACCCTTCCATAGATGGAACCGGTGATTTAATTTTTATGGGGGACAGAAATATATTGAAATGAACTTAATAATACTAGAATCTGGATAAATCTGAAAATTCTGAAAACTGTTAGGACTTTACTTCTGAAAGAGTATTGATGAAATTACAAGAAAATAATTATTTGCTTTAAAAGTTGGAAAATGACTAGCTACTGACATCTAGTGAAGGATTAGAAGATAGAACAACAGCTGCATTGACTCAGAAATTGGCAAGACATCCAGAAATAAAGAACAACTTGTTCCTGAACCTCAGTGGCTTCTCACCAAATAGAGAACAGCTGGGAACAGAGGAAAAAAAACACACTGAGCTACCTACTACAGAGTGAGAACTATATTTGTTTTAAAAACTGCTGACCTTAATAATAATAATAATAATAATAAAGTTGGAAGGGACCTTGGAGGTCATCAAGTCCAACCCCCTGCTCAGGCAGGAACCCTACACCATTTCAGACAAATGGCTGTCCAGTCTCTTCTTAAAAACTTCCAGTGTTGGAGCATTCACCGCTTCTGGAGGCAGGTTGTTCCACTGGTTAATTGTTCTAACTGTCAGGAAGTTTCTCCTTAGTTCTAAGTTGCTTCTCTCCTTGATCAGTTTCCATCCATTGCTTCTCGTCCTGCCTTCAGGCGCCTTGGAGAATAGCTTGACTCCCTCTTCTTTATGGCAGCCCCTGAGATATTGGAACACTGCTATCATGTCCCCCCTCGTCCTTCTCTTCATTAAACTAGACATACCCAATTCTAGCAACCGTTCCTTATATGTTTTAGCCTCCAGTCCCCTAATCATATTTGTTGCTCTTCTCTGTACTTTTTCTAGAGTCTCAGCATCTTTCTTACATTGTGGTGACCAAAACTGGATGCAGTATTCCAAGTGTGGCCTTACCAAAGCATTGTAGAGTGGTATTAATACTTCACGTGATCTTGATTCTATCCCTCTGTTAATGCAGCCTAGCACTGTGTTGGCTTTTTTGGCACCTGCAGCACATGGCTGGCTCATATTTAAGTGATTGTCTACTAGGACTCCGAGATCCCTCTCACAGTTACTACTATTGAGCAAGGTACCCCCTATACTATACCTGTATATTTGGTTTTTCTTGCCTAAATGTAGAACCTTACTTTTTTCACCATTGAATTTCATTGGCTTCTAAACTCAAGAATTGTTTGCAGAGAAAGAAAAACCTTGACATTTGGCTAATCTTTTAGGGGGGAGTTTATTGGAAAGCTCCTAGGGCAGTAAATTTGACTTTCTGATAATTGTAAGACCCTTTAATAGAAGAACTATTATAAACTACTGATTTTAGCGGTGCTTTGAGAATTGGAAATGCATTGGATTATAAAAACCATATATAAAGATAAGAACTGTATAAGATTGGGTTGTCTGGACTTTAAGTTTGGCTGGTTTGACAAGGCTAATTACAGAGACTATGGTACTGGTGAAAAACTAACTGGAGGGGGGGGAGATAAAATGGATGTTACATACCTATCTAAAAGTGTCAGGAAAAAGCTGTAGAAAAGATCAGATCTGAGACAGAAGAGCTTTTGGAGGAGAAAAATCATGAGATGAGGGAAGATATTCTGTTGGCTCTTAAGGGGCTTGCGGCCCATGTAGAAAGGCTGGATGGTAGAGTGGATGAGGTGGTTGGAAATGTTGAAAGATTGGAAGGAAGAGTTGAAAGAGTTGAAAATAATGTGGATGCAGCACAGAATGAAATTGTAATGTCACAATATAGAGACATGGAGTTTGCTTTGAGAATAAGAGGGTTGAAGGAGAATGTGAAAGAGAATTTGAAAGAAGAGATTGCTGCATAACTGGCATCCATTTTAGGATGTGGAATTGAAGAAATATTGAGAGATATTGAAAAAATCTTTAGAGTTAATTCGTGGATTGCGAAGCAGAGAAATTTACCAAGAGATGTGGTTATCTATTTTTCTAGAAGATCACTTCGTAATGAAATTATAGTTAAAGATTGTATGATTAAATGGGCGCAAAATATCCAAGAGCCAATTTTATTGGATACATGGGAGACAATTTGGGTTAGAAATGTAAAATTTACTCAAGCACAAAATTTAAGAGAAAATTTTTATAAAATGTTTTATAGATGGCATTTGGATCCCCAAAAGTTGTCCCGCATGTATCCGAAATTACAGCCCAAATGTTGGAGATGTGGAAATTTAGATGCAACTTATTTTCATATTTGGTGGACTTGTAAAGATATTAAAGCTTTTTGGATTAAGATTTGGTGGAATATTCAAAAGATTTTTAAGAAATGATAAAGTTTACTCTGCAATTATTTTTGTTGGGTATTATTGTAGATTTGGATGTTAAAGAAACTTAAATATTATGGATGTTAAAGGTTAAATTGGAATACCGTAATTAAAAATTAGGTAAAACTTAAAAACAGGATATGGATATGTATAAGCAAAAAATATAGTGATAAATGTCTCAACTGAGCTTGTTATAATTAGAAATTTACTTGTTTAAATATGATATAGCAAATGTTAAGGGAAATAGAGAAGGAATTTTTGATGATGTAACCTGACATATATACTAAAGATTTTGTTATTGAATTATTGATTACCCAATCACCATGCTGATTTCTAAATACTTAAACGTAAAACTGGAAAACCAGCAAAATTTGTTATAAAAAAATAAATCAAAATGAAAACAGTGTATTGCCTCAGGCGGTTATAGTAGTTTTAAAACATGTATTAAATTTTAATACTATAACATAAATCTTCCATGATTGGTCTCTGCTGAAATTCTGAAGAATGTAACCAGTCAAAATTATTTAAAAAAATAAGCTTAATCAGCTTGTTTTCTTCTATGCGCTTAGGCCTCATAATATCATCAGTTCCCAGTTTATCTTTGGGGGGGGGGCAGGGAAGAGGACAGTTAACATAATGTCAGACAAAGCATGAATGTAGAATCCAAGAAAAGAATTTCTTGGTCATTTTCCAGGATAGCACCTCAAATGTATTTGCCTTCTTTCCTCTCATTTCTTCCTTTTTTGCTTTGGCCTATGTATTTTTGGGGCTTGCCATACTGTTGCGGAAGGGTACTTGCATAAGGCATATTATTTACTTTGCTCTGCTCTGTACGAGGTGCCCTCCCTCTGAGCGAGAGGACTGCAGCCTGAAAACATCTGCCTTATCACCAGACAATGGAGCCTGGGACCGTTGGGAAATGAAACCAAGAGACCTTGAGGAGGGCGCTAAATCTCCAGGTTCTCATAACACTCTGGCACCTGTGGATTGGCTGGATTTCAACTGGACGGTTGGACATTGTGGAGAGGAGTTTTGAATTGTCTTTTGTTGTACCCTTTTGCGTGCTAAATCTTCAGACCTTGCTTTGCTCTCTTGCCATCACTAACTCTCAATAAAAGTTCCTTTTGAAAAGATGCTGGTTTCAAAACTTCTGCTTTCTTGGGAGATCTAGTTGAGGCAGGTCCTTACAACACCTTATTTTAAGATGGCATTCTTTAAATTTTACTTAGAATAATTTTAAAATGAATAATGATGGGATCTTGCAGGCACCAAGGATGGCATCCATCAGCAGATTGACATCCATGAATGCTTTTGGGGGGGGAGATCCTTCACATAAGCCTTGGATTGCAAACCAGTGAAGTTGTATTATGTTACACTGCAGTTCTTAAATTTAATCAATAATCAAATTTAATAATTCTTTGGAACTTTTTCAGATCTGTGTGAGCAAGTGTCCAGATAGGTATCTCACTTTTCTAAAGGCCTCCAGTATTGATCACACAGCAACCCAGGAACTAAAATATTATCAACAGTTTTGTGCCCCAGAGTTTACCGATCTGAAGAAGGTAAGTGGGCTGGATTGTTGGATTGTTGCTCTGTTCTTTCTGAAAGTACAGGTAAAGAATCTGCTTTTCTGGTCAGAAATTAATTTTGATGCACCCTGTCTCTCTCAATCTCTGTTCCAGAGTGCACCTGAAGTGTTGAAAGATGGTGAATGCCCAGCCATGCTTACACCAAGCAAGCCCTGTAAGTCCTTCTGGAAAAGAAGGCTGGTAGAAGAAACTCTGGGGATTTAATTCTAGTTTCAAGAACAGCTGAACCACTTTAGCACAAGCAAGCAAGGGCTGTGACTGCCAACTTCCATAGTCATTCTATATACAGTACAAACTCTAGATTTGATGCTATGTAAATTTGATGTTACTCACAGGAGTTACTTAGTCCAGTTTCCCCCCTATCTCTAAGATTTAAAAACATCCAAATAATTAGTTACCTAAACTCTGTAGCTGCTTGGATTTGGTGACTAATTCTTATTCACTTAAACTTTTGACACTATTACTATGTAGCTTCAGTGATTCAAGGTGGGAGCAGAAAGTAAAACCTGTGATAGTTTCCAGATTCTTAAGATATTTTTTTATTTCCCAAAATCGGCAACATGGTTTGGTTGTGCAGAGCAGAGCTTGGTCTCTGCTTATTGTTTTAAAGACCAATGTATTAGGTAGAAAGATCAAGGATGTTGCCTTTAGCAATTCACATAACTTATATTGAATAGATGACTGTGATTCCTGTAACTTAAAATGAATATTTTTTGTATGCCAAAGGATCCCTCTGCCAGAATCCATTAATATTTCATTTCTTTCTATCTCCTCGGATCTAAAACCAAATCTTTCCTTCCCCTGGATTCTGCCATACTCCCAACGGGGAGGGGGGATATGCCTGCGTGGTTATGACTTTCATTTCCTCTATTCTCTACAATGTAATCTTTTGTTTATTGCCTCTGGGTCTGTTGCCCATTACAAGGTAACAAATTGCCTCCTCCACTGTGCATGTCTCTGAACTTTCTTCTCCCTAATCTGGCAGTTAGGAAAAAGAGGGGGGAGAGAAATACCAACATCCGGAACCTGGCTTATTTCTCCAGTCTCAAAAGGAGGTATGAAGAGCTGTGGAACATCGTGCTACAAACGCAGCCGGAATGATATTATCTTCCCTTTCCCATGAAACACCTAGGGATTGGCTGGTCGGAACCGTCCGGATGAACTGTGGGGTGGGGTTTGCTTAGGGACCCTTTAAAGTATCAATCTGTAAGGAATCCCTCAGATCCTGTTTATTATGCCTGCTATCAACTACTCTTAATAAAAGTTCCTGTTGGAAGAAATTGTTTCCAAGAGTTCTGCTTTCTTAAGATGTGGGATTGAAGTGGGTCCTTACATTAGATAGGATCTGCAGTAATAGTCAATCTAGATGGAAGACCCTTACTGGAGGACTTTGCGAAAAATACAATATCGGATGAGGCAGGGAAGGGAGAAACCCCCATAGAAAGGGAGCCTTCCCCCCAACCGGGATCCCACCAACTATCGGGATTCAAAACGTCATACTCCTCAGGAGAAGTGGAAACGCGCGACCATGTTTTGATGGGCATTGGCAAGAAAGATGAGTGGGAAAAGAGATCGAGAAAGGTGACCCTGACATGGGGCAGCCACCAACCCGAATAGAAGCAAGAGATGGAGAAATCCCTGCATGTTAGCGAAGAGGAAGGAAGTTGTGCAGAGCACTCAAACTGGATCCTAGAGAGGACTATTGACCTGATTAAAAGAATCCTCGGCTCTTTAGGGGAGGAGAAACCTGAGCCCCGTGGCCATACCAGCACTGGAGCTACAGCTGGAGAGGCACTGAAGGGGAATCAGAACCTGTAGTCCTGGGGATATCTGCTGAACCAGGAGCTACCACTTCCGCAGCCCTCAATCCCTGCTGACCCGCAGATGGCAATCAAGATAGGAGACAATATTGCTGGTGGCGAAGACACCGATCCATTCAAAGATTCCCGCCGCTGGACGCGAAATTCAGGGGGAGCCACCATGCTTGTGGTTCTTCCTAACCCAAGTTCTCAGCTACATGAAAGAATATGGATGGGACATCCCCAGTGACAAAGCCCGTTTCCGTATCGTGCAATCCGCCTTGGATGGACCAGCCGCAGACTGGATGGTGAACCTGCATGATTCCAACGCCCCAGAGCTCAACAACTTCAACCGCTTCATGTCCTCTCTGAGAAGGCGATTTGAGGACCCCCCTGGCTGATCACAAAGCCCACAAGAGAATCAAAATGGTGAGGCAGGGCAGACACTCAGTAGCCAAATATACACAAAAATTCTGGACCATTGCCAGCAAGCTGAACTGGCCGGAAGACAATGACTATATTAGCTCCCTCCATGCCTGAAGCTGTCAAAGTGAAAGCCTTAATAGACTCTGGCTGCATCTGCTGCCTCATTAGCCCAACACTAGTGGGGAACTTGGGCATTCCGGTGAGGAGGCTGAAACAACCAAACTCATTTGGCCAGTTAGATGGGTCCATAGCAGGGGGGGTTGCCAGCTACCCTAGCCACTTTACCAGTCCACCTATCCCTGGGGAACTATGAGGAAGACATAACATTTGTAGTGACACCAGGCATGAAATGCCCAGTGATCCTAGGGCTGTAATGGTTAAAGAAATGGAACCCCTTGGTAAATTGAAGAACGGCAGAAATCAACCAAATTTAGGAACGGAGAAAGCATTGATGGGAGAGGAAAAGGGGCTACCCGAAATACCAGAGGAATACCAAGACCTTGCTGAGGTTTTCAGTGAGGAGCGGGCAGATGAGCTTCCCCCTCAATGACCCACGGATTGTGCCATAGAATTCAAGCCTGGGGCAAAACTACTGAAGCCCAGACTATATTATATGAGCCCTAAGAAGAAGGAGGAAATGGAAAGATTCATAAATAAAAACCTAGAAAGGGGGTTTATCGAACTGCCAAGCCTAAAGTAGCTGCCCCAGTCCTCTTTAGAGAGAAGGACGGCACTTTACACTTGTGCGTGGATTACCGCGCCCTGAATGCAATCAGTGAAAGTAACCTATACCCCCTATCCCTCATGAAGTGCATGTTATCCCACCTCTCAAAAGGAAGAATTTTCACTAAACTAGATCTAAGGGAAGCATATTACCGCGTTAGGATTAAGGAAGGGGATGAATTGAAAACTGCATTTAATTGCCCAATGGGATGCTACCAATTCAAAGTTTTGCTGTTTGGACTACAAGCCCCCTCCCAGTATTTATGCAATTAATCAACGAGGTACTATGGGAGCACCTATTTAAGGGGTCCTGGTTTATCTAGATGACATCCTTATCTTCACCGAATCCAAAGAGGAACATGTCAACCTAGTCAGAGCGGTTTTAAAGAAACTGCGAGTTGCCCACCTATATGCCAAATTAACGAAATGCAAATTCCACCAGGAAAGAATAGACTACCTGGGTTATCACATATACCCAAAGGGCATCGAAATGGACCCCGAGAAGGTCAGAGCAGTACTAGAATGGGCACCACCTCGCACAAGGAAGCAGTTGCAAAGTTTCCTAGGTTTTGCAAACATTTACTGCCAATTCATCCCTTCATTCGCCCAAATAGCCCTGCCCCTCACGAACTTATTAAAAATGAAGGGAGAATCCTCAGTGAAACCCAGCCAACCACTAACACGGACAATGGAATGCCAGGCGGCCTTTGGGAGGTTAAAGAGACTTTTTTCTGCCGGACCCGTACTGAGGCAACCAGACAAGGATAAAACTTTTGTAATACAGGTGGACACAAGCGATGTAGCAGTGGGGACTGTACTACTACAAGAAAATGACGAAGGGGTATTGCAACCGTGCGTGTATACGTCCAAGAATCTCACCAAAATGGAAGAGCACTGGGCCGTGTGGGAAAAAGAGGCATATGGGGTGCGTTGGTCGTTACTTACGTGGTGCCATTTCCTTGAAGGGAATAAAATCCCTTTTCAGGTCTGGACGGACCACAAAAACCTGGAAGCCTTAAAAACACCCAGGAAACTCACTCCCAAGCAAGCCCACTGGTCCCAGCATTTTCACCAATTCCGTTTTACGCTCAAGCACTTGCCTGGGGGGGAAGAACTTCCTGGCAGATGCACTGTCTTGCATGCCCCAATATAACAGCATGTGATCCACTGATTCTAAACCACTCATGCCTGAATCACAACTGGTAGCACCAGTAACCACCACAGCCCAAGCTAAATTAGAGCTGCAGCTGGGTAGCCAAACTGGAATCGAATTCCGGAAAACTTTGGAAACAGAAAAATGGTCCCAGAAAAATAGACACGTGAACACAATCAAGGACGGACTGCCATTGGTGGGGGAAAAGATATATACCAACTACCCAGAGGGTCACTAGCATGCAGCTATGCCATGATACAAAATCAGCAGGGTGTTTTGGATTTGTAAAAACATTACATTTAATTAAAAGGCAATTTTGGTGGCCGTCCATGAAAAAGGACATAGAAATTTATGTGGCCAGCTGCCCTACGTGCGCAACTGCCAAGAGGTTGCAAGGAAAATCGCCTGGACTGTTACAAACAGCGGCAAATCCCTTAGCCTCCTGGAAAGAAATATCCATGGGATTTTATAGTGGAATTACCAGAAAGCAATGGAAAACTGCCATCTGGGTAGTTATGGACCTGTTTTCCAAACAAGTGCACTTTATCCCTTGCCAAAAAATTGCCACTGCAAGAACCTTAGTGAAACTATTCGTGCAGCACATGTACAGGTTGCATGGGGCACCCCAATGCATCATATCTGATCGGGGAATGCAATTTATATCAGAATTTTGGTATATTTGTCTACAAAATATCTAAAATCCCTACAGCCCTGTAAAAAATGTGGTCCAAAATATATAGGACCTTTTCCAATTAAAAGAATCATAAACCCAGTAACAGTAGAATTAGAACTACCCAAAAACCTCAGGCAAATACACCCAATTTTCCACTGCAGCTTGCTGAAAAGAGAACAACAGTCACCCTTACAGCCAAAAATCTCCCCCACCACCCCGAATCATGGTTGAAGGAGAACAACACTTTGAGATAAAAGAAATCCTAGATTCTAGGAAGTATCATGGGGCAACTCAATACCTAGTAGCATGGAAACACCTTCCCTCCTCACAAAACGAGTGGGTCCATAAACGTCACTTCAGAGCAGCGAAACTGCTAAAGAAGTTTCATACAGAATACCCCAACAAACCAGACTAACCTCTATGCCTGTTTTGTTTCTCTACAGGTGGATCTCTCTTATTTTTAAGGGGGGTAGGATGTCAGAATCCATTTATATTTCATTTCTATCTATCTCCTCTGAGCTAAAACCAAATCTCACCTTCCCCTGGATTCTGCCATACTCCCAAGGGGAAGGGGGGATATGCCTGCGGGGTTATGACTTTCACTTCCTCTATTCTCTACAATGTAATCTTTTGTTTATTGCCTCTGGGTCTGTTGCCCATTACAATGTAACAAATTGCCTCCTGCATTATTCATCTCTCTGAACTTTCTTCTCCCTAACCTGGCAGTTAGGAAAAAGAGGGGGAAAGAAATACAAACATCCAGAACCTGGCTTATTTCTCCAGTCTCAAAATGAGGTGTGAAGAGGTGTGGAACATGGTGCTACAAACGGAGCCGTAACGATGTTATCTTCCCTTTCCCATGATGGACTTAACACCTGGAGATTGGCCGGTCTGTACTGTCCTGATGAACTGTGGAGTGGGGTTTGCTTAGGGACCCTTTAAAGTATCGATCTGTAAAGAATCCCTCAGATCTGTCTATTATGCCTGCTATCAACTGCTGTTAATAAAAATTCCTGTTGGAAGAAATTGTTTCAAAGAGTTCTGCTTTGTTAAGATATGGGATTGAAGTGGGTCCTTACACTCTCTTTTTAATTTTTTTTTTTTGAGCTAAGTTGTTTTTGAACATTCAATAGTGGATGAGCTTCTTTCAGCCAGATGTTTATAACACATATAATTCTAATAAATTCACCATTGAAGTTAGATTATGATTGAATACAGCCTGTATTGGTAGTCACAATTGGGAGCTGAATTTAGATTATGTTAAATAAATACTTAAGCTAATAGGAACCAAACCCTGAAATCATATGTATTAATAATTGTGCTATAATAAACATTTGATTGGCAATACAACCAACTGGAAATACATCTAAATAAAACAGGAACTAACATGGAAATATCTATTTTAATGAGAGCAGGGTGGGGCAAACCCTGCCTTTAATTGCAAGTTAAATAAAAGTATTTTTAAATATCTCTTAAAAACCTTCAGACTCTGAAGGGTAAAGAGGGAGCTAATTCTAGAGTTCTTGAAAGCTTAGAACCTGGAGATTACAATTCTGGATGGGGAACAGAAAGGAAACTCTTTCCAGAGAATATAAAATATGAACAAGATTGTCAGAGAACATACAGTTATATACTGGGGGAGGGGAGATGAGGTATTGAGAGGCTACTGGGAAGAATCAGTAGATTAAAGTAGGTTGGCTCAAATAGGAAACTTGTGAAGGCCCTGCAGTGTTTGTGAAACATGAGAATATGTTGCTCTAATGAGGCAGAGGAAATTACTGAGGTTAAATATTTAAATCTCTCTGATGTTTAAACAGTGGCTCATAGATGTTTACCTGCAATCAACAGCAAGAAAGGTGTTATCATGGTTGGAAATGCAACAACTTTTGATGATGGAAGTGGAAGTGGGAAGAAAAGGAATGTGACAGAACTTCTGGAAGGGGCCAAGTGAGTTTTATTTGCCTGTTATAGTAAATTTATTTATTTGGTTTATGTGAACAATTAGCAAAAAATGACTCTGGGTAGGAACATAAAAAACAAGTATTAGAAAATCAATAATAATCTGGAATTAAAAAGAGAAAAAAATAATAAAAAATAACAAGACTGACCTAATTAACCAAAGCTAAACACATGGTCAGTCTAGGTGGAGAATGTATAACTTGGGTATAGTTGACTTATTGAAGATACTTGTGTCAAAGAAATCTAATTCTGCTTCAGCCATTGTTATTTCTTAGCTTGCTAACAGATGCAGGGGGACAGGGGATGAATGGAATGTGCATTTGCAGCTGTGAAATCTGGGATGCAAGATCATTCGAGATTGTTACTAAGAGACAAGATTTTTCTCATAACAATTATCTGATGCTTAATTGGGGAATGTGACTTGCACTGTCAGAGGAAGGAAAGTTTCTATACTTCTAATTTGCTGTTCAGGTGCCAGATTGCCAGAGCTGGTTTTCTATTCATCAGTGCTGATATGCTGTACTTAATAAAAGTTTTGCACTAGAGATTGGAATGTCTCGGATGCTTACTTCATTGGGATCATAAGTCAGAACTTTGACACTAAACCAGCTCTCCTTTCAAGCTTAATTCTAACTAAGAGGTCCTGAGCCTCTATGCCCCATCTGGCTAACTCCAGAGGGTAGTGAAGATTCAGGAGAAGATGCCCGAGATGGTGCAAAGACAGGACGGGGTCAAAGGATGGAACTCCAGACAGCCAAGGAGGACCCCTGTACCCAGCTGGCCTCAATGCATCCCAAAGTGAAGGCGGAGAGAACGGAGTCATTGGGGATGCTGGGATGGACCAGGGCGATGGCAGCCTTCAGCCAGCTGAGCCTGGAGCAGTGGCAAGAGGGGCCGCAGAAACTGGCAAAGCCGAATTTCTCTTGGTCCACCCTGGAGCTGAATTTGTATGAGAGCCGAGTTTCAGCAGCCTGGAAGTGCACGAAGGAGAACTGATCTGGAAGTTAGATCTACCCCTCCGGTTGGGATCTGGTCAACCCTGGGCACCAGTGCTGACCTTGTTGCCCCTGCCCCAGCCAGGAACAGTGATAGTCACGACTGGGGGAATGGTTGGCTCCCAACCAGTTGTTTTTTCACAGCCTGGCCCCAGTCTGGGACCTGGAGCTCCCAGTCCTCAACCAGCTGCCACCCCACTACCCAGGGCAGCTGGCCAACAGCTGCCACTGTGGCAGATGTATGGTGCCCAGCCGTGGCTGTTCCCTTATGGGGATGAGATGGTCACTGGGGTACTGGGGCACCCCAAGGCCTCTGCGTGGAGGCCATCGTGGCCAACCTTGAAGGGGAAGTAGCAGAATGGGTGGCAGCTCTCCATGACAAAGGAGCCCCCGAGCTAGGGGTCCTGGTGCATTTTAGGGAGAGCTCAGAGCCCGATTTGACAATATCACGCAGACCCAACGTGCGGAAGCTGAGGTGTGCAACATAAGGCAAGGAAGCAGGCCCATGGTAGAGTACATCAGAGAATTCAGGATACTTGTGGGGAGATTGAGCCATTGGCCAGAGCAACTCCTGACCTACTACTTCAGAGAAGGTTTGAGCCGTGAGTTGTACCATACTTGCTTGCCTAGAGGAATACCGGACTGACTCAATGACTGGTACCAACTGGTGATGAATGTGGAGTTGGACCTGTTGGAGTACAAGGATTGCGGGAGAATCGAGACCTATCTGAAGAGGGGCCAAGAAAAGCGCAAGCTGGGTAGAAAGCAGTTAGCATTGCCATCTCCTGCCCTGCTGAACCCCCAAAATGCACTTCCAGCTTGTGCTTCTGTTGCAGTCAGGAAGGTCACCGAGCTGCCATGTGCCCCACTCTGGAACCCAGGTCAGTGCTGATGATCCCGCCTCCTCCAAAACCCAAAAAGCTGTCAAGCAAAGGGAAGGAAAAGGTGCATGTGGCTCGCCAGGTTGTCAAGGTCTCCCCCCCCCCCGAAAGTGAAGGGGAGGGAATTCTGGCTGAAGAGGACTTGAAGTTGAACCTCTACAAGAGTGACAATGAGAGACCTCCACTTCTGGATCAGGCCGCTTCAGCCACACGAAGGGCTTCACTCTTTGATGGCTGCCTTTCTCTCTACCGGTAGACTCTAATGTGGGTCCTAAATCGCCCTGGAAGGGCGACCACTGTCGAGGAGGCTTTTGCTCGGTTGCGGCGGAGCGGCGGCTCCCCCTACAGTCCGAGCTAACTCTGTAGGGCCAATGGAGAAGAAGATCGGTCAGTAAAATGGCCGATCACTTCGCTGTGCCAGCTGAAGTCAGAAAATCATCTAAGCATAAAGAACCACTGTGGTGAATCTGGGTGAGACCTTTCCTCCTTCTCTTCATTCTGAACTATTTTTCCTGCAAAGAGCTTGATTTTTAGATGACTTCCCTGTTCCAAGAGAGCAGCTTCTGTCTGTTTGGGAAAAAAATACTTTAAACAATACTTCAGAATAGCACTTATTATATTTTGAACCTTTTGGATATCCCTGGAGAGATTTCTAATTTAGAGCATTATTTTACTTATTATATTGAAGATATTTGCTTTTTTTCTGTCTCTTTCGTTGCCATTTTTAATGAAATAAAGGCTTTTAAAGTGCAAAGAAAAGCTTTTTATAGTTTACTGAGGACATCTTGTGGCAAAAATTACTTCAGGAATTAACAAGAAGAAAAGATAAAGGCTTGGAAACAACTGTGGGTTGTGTTTGTGATTTAAAAATTGTGGAGGCGGATGTATATGGATTCTTAATAAATATAGTTTCCACAAAAAGATTAAAAGACTTTTTTACTATGGAAATAGAAGTTTTTTACCCACAGCTTGACTATGAGCTGATATTGGAAAAACTATTGGAAATGACAGAGGAGATGAAGTTATGGAGAAAAACTAAAGATCATTTTGCAGAACCACAAGCTGAGCCTCAAACTTTAAAAGATCAATCTATAGGCCAAGAAGAAGCCTATATGCAACAGTATACACAATCTGAGATGGAAGAAGTTACTGATCAATTGAATTCTGGACTGGATTATGAGCTGATACTGGAACAAATATTGGAAATGACAGAGGAGATGAAGTCATGGAGAAAAACTAAAGACCATCTTCTAGAACAGTGGTTCTCAACCTTTTTAATGCCGCGACCCCAACCAGTCGTAAGTCAAGGACTTTCCCTGCCCGGGAGCACCGTGCATGTGTGGTGCCGACCCCTGCGCCGGCCGAGGTGTAGCTGGCAAAGGGCAGTGACGGCGCAGGGCGACTACCGGCTGAGCCACCAGCTGGCCCAGCCCAAGGGAGGTAAGGCACCCCCGGGCCCCACGCATGCCAGCAACCCTCCCCGCACCCGCTGGCCTTCCACCTCCCACCCCTGGCCCTCTTTTACTTACATTTTTAGTAGTTGCTCAGCAGGGAGGGGTGGAAGCTTCCAGACAGCTCGCCTTCGCTGCAGACAACTTGCAGTACCATTTGCAGACTGGGGCTTTTGGCGGGCTCAGCAGGGCAGAGACAGCCTGGACAATTCCTATTGGCTTTTGAAAGCCAATAGAATTAGACTCTATTCAAGAGAGTCTATTCTATTGGCTTTCAGAAGCCAATAGAATAAAAGGGAGTAACACAGGTAAGGAAAAGGGAAAAAATGGCGGACTGCGTTGTTTGGCAACCCCCGTGAAATGGTCGTTGGACCCCAAATGGGGTCGCGACCCACAGGTTGAAAACCGCTGTTCTAGAATCACAAGCTGAGTCCCAAATTTTAAAAGACCAACCTACAGGCCAAGAAGAAGCTTATGTGCAACAGTGTACACAATTCAAGATGCAAGAACTTACTGACCAATTGAACTTTAGAAAAATTCTGGACCCAAAACCCCAGATTGAGACTTTAAATAATTATTCTATAAATCAACTGACTATTACAGAGGAGGATATTTCACAAGCCTATGTACAAATGGAGAACTTTGAAGATCAAAAAATGACTATAAGTGAAGTTCTCCCATTGCCAAAATTAATTGACAGCCAAATGTGATCGATTGAAAGTTATGACAACCTGGATAACCAAGCTGAAATTATAATATGGAATAAAATGGACTATATTGTTTATATCAGTGGTTCTTAACCTGGGCAATATTGCCCCCCAGGGGGCGATTTCATTTTTCAGGGGGGCAATGGAATGAAAAGGGGCGACACGGGGGCGAAGGAACAAAAAGGGGGCGATATGGGGGCAATGGAGCGAGAAGTTTTGGGGACAGTTTTGAGACTTTTTCATACAGTGAATGGCTGCATATCTGTCATACAAAAACATCAGATCTCTCGCTATTAGTGGATTGAATTGTGTTTTCAAATGTTCCCCCAGCTAGCTTCAGTATAGAACACCGTACATATGTGAATGTGCATCGCTTATCTTCATGTGCGTTGCGCAGCAGCCTCTACCCATACTGTAAGGACCCACCCCACTTTGCATCTTAAGAAGACAGAACTCTTGGAATAGTTCTTCCAACAGGAATCCTTTATTAAGAGAAAATGGTTGCAGGCATGCTAGACAGGACTTGGGGTCCAAGCTCTCCCATTCAAGGTTTTAAGGGGTTCCCCAGTAGTCCCACCCAATCAACCCCCCTTCCAGTGATGGTTTCAAGTATCACAATTCCACCTCCTTTCTTCTTTCTTCCGTCTGGATGGAGACTTCAGATACTACATGAAAGGCAATTACCCTTCTTTGATATGTTAACGCTTAGAGGTTACAATAAACACACATTCAGCTCTTTGAAGTGTAAAGAAGGAAGTGAGGGCCATAAAGCCCCTTTGCTCTCCCCCTTCTCTCCCTCTTATGGCAGAATCCAGAGAAGGCAGAATTGGGAGTTTCTATATTTGATAATTTAAAGATGAAATATAATTGGATTCTGACATCCGGCCCCTCTTAACAATAAGAGAGATCCACCTGAAAGAAAACGCAAGTAAAAAATTTAGTTAGGCTTGTTAG